TGCCTATGTTATGTGTTTATGTTCATGATATGGGTTATGATACAGGTATATACTTAGCTGCACATAGTTACATCGTGTCTTGTGTTTTTTTAGGACTGCACCATCAGGGCATCTTCAGAGTGTCCGGTTCACAAGTGGAAATCAACGAGTTAAAGAACCAGTTTGAGAAAGGCGAGTTTGGGTCACAATCAGTGGTTTCCGTGAAATCTGATGAGCTCGTCCTAAGAACTATTTTTGGCCAATTGCGAGAAATTTCTTATAACAATGCTGCAAAAGTCGTTACTGAATCGGTGACAGGGAGCAAGGGGAGAGAATACTATCTGAACATCGTCATGAAATCCGATAATTTATTCCAAGTTGAAAATAATATGATTAGGAACGATAATTCATTCAATGTTGGTCAGTTGCGGTGAATTTCTTAAAAAATCATCACTTTTTTCTCTCTTTTTTTTCGTTTTTTTGTGTGTTTCTTTGTTTCTTTTCTTTTGTTTTTTTTGTTCTTTGGTTTTGTAAATCTTTTGTATCTTTTGTAATACTTGAGATATGCTGAGCTACTGAGTAGTCGGTGACGGCTGGTGACGGCGTGTGACGGTTGTTGTCGTTGTCACGGTAACAGGAGAGGACCCGCTGGCGGACGCGTCGGACTGCTGCGACTTGAACAGCAGTGCGGGAGTTCTGAAGCTCTACTTTCGCGAACTGCGCGAACCTCTCTTCCCGATGTGCATGTTCGATCAGTTCATCAACTGCAGTAAGTAATCATCGTCATCGTCGTCGTCGTCATCGTCATCATTGTTTTCACTGTCATTATCGTCATCATCATCGTCGTCATCGTCATCGTCGTTGTCACTGTCATTATCGTCATCATCATCACCATCGTCGTCATCGTCGCTGTCACTGTCATTATCGTCATCATCGCTTTCACTGTCACTATCGTCATCATCATCACCATCGCCATCATCATCACCATCATCGTCATCGTCGCTGTCATTATCGTCGTCATCATCACCATCGTCATCGTCGTTGTCACTGTCACTATCGTCATCATCATCACCATCGCCATCATCATCACCATCATCGTCATCGTCGCTGTCACTGTCATTATCGTCATCATCATCACCATCGTCGTCATCGTCGCTGTCACTGTCATTATCGTCATCATCACCATCGTCATCATCGTCGTTGTCACTGTCATTATCGTCATCATCATCACCATCGTCGTCATCGTCGC